GCGTGGCCGCCGCGGACGCCGCCCCGCGGCGCCTCGGCCGCGCTCGGCGCGGCGCGGGGGCCCGCCGAGGCGGCCGCGCCCTGGCCGGGCGGCCCGCGCCCGGCCGGAGGCCTCGGCAGAGCGGCGGTCGTGGCGCTGGGCCCGCCGGCGCCGGCCAGCGCCTCGGGTCGAGGAAGGAACGCCTGCGCCTCCGCCTCCGCCTCCGCCTCCTCCGCCGGTCATGGCGCTGCCCGAAGGAACGCCAGAGAAGGAAGGAGGGGGCTTTCCAGGCCACGGCGGCATCGCCCATTTCCCCGACCTGGATCTAAGGAGCGGCCCAAAGAGCCGATTTCCTCCTGAGGCCGAAGTTGTCCTATGTCAGCGCCTTGAATGTAAAATACAACTTTCTGAGATACGCTCGCCTTTCTTGGATCGGAAATGGGCCCCCAGGGGGCGCCTCTGGCGCCTCCACGCGCGGTCTGCGCGCCAGGGAGGGGGTCCAACCCGAATCTGGGCGTATAAGGCCAGCTGGGCTTATACGCCCAGATTCGGGCCACGGAGCCATCACAGATCGATCCGGCTCGAAACATGCAGCAAAGAAGATGGGGGACGTGGCTCCCGGTTTGATTTCGTGCGTTTTTGCAATTGTTGTTTGCGACGTCGGATCTGCTGGTCCGTCGCGTCGTGACCAGAATCATGGCGAGCGACTTCGGGCAATGTGTTGTTTCCTTTTTGTTGAGGCCCCGCCGCATCCGCCGCTTTGACAAACAATGCTGGGCCGAAAAGGCGTGCAAGAAAAACCCGATTCGCGTGTTGGGCAGACTTCGTTTCGGGCCTCGCCACGCCCCCCCCTCCCCCCGCACGCAAATAAACCAGCCAGAATCTTGCATCAACGATTCTGTTCGCTGGGCCCCGGGATCGTCAACTCCACGGCTCTGGCCGAACAGCCTGTCTGGAGGAATGGGTCGAGACCTCTCTGGGGATCGACGTTAATCGGTACGATCGAAATGAGTAAGGATAGAATGGGCATGGAGACCAACAGCAAATCCTGCTCATTTTGGACAGGACTCGCTATCGGTGTGGCCGCGAACGCTTTCTATTTTCAAACGACGGCCGCCTGCCCATCAACGGCCAATGTCGATCTTGAACAACATTTGCTGTTGGGCATCCTGTCCACTGCTTTTGTATCCATTCCAGGCGTCCCAAAAATAACTGAGAAAGAACCATGACTGGGGAAACCAAGACGTACCGATACCGCCACTCCCCGGACCTCTCCCAGGGTGCGTTCTGACCAGAAGTTCGGGGCGAATCCAGCGTTGGCGACGAGGGCGTCCCAGGAGGCCCACGAGGGGGAAACGAGGGTAGAGTAGCAGTATGGGTATCTTTCCTGCCGGCGCGCAGAGGGGGAAAGTCTTCATAGAAGGAGGCTGATTCTTAGAAGGCGCGGGCCCTACATCTACAGACCAAGAAGCAGGGGTGTTTGCAAGAAGCCTCCCCCCCTCCCCCAGTCCCCTTCTGCTGAGGGACAGCAATAGACGGGGATTGGCATAGAGGAAGATGAGTCGAAATAATCGGCAATACAACGTCGACAGATCGGAGATAGGCCCCCCATAGCGAAACCGCACCTCCCTGGGCGGGTTGGGGCTATCGGGCCCCTGTCGGCGATCCATGGACGATTGGGGGTCGATGCGTTCCAAGCCTATACCCATCCCCCACTATCGTTGCCCCCGCTCTGTCGGAGAGACATAAGACTCGGGTGCGGGAGACTCGGGTTGGCCTGACGGGACCATCATGAAAACGACGAGTCCCAATCTGAAATTTGACGCGAACTCGAGCGAGAAACATGCCACGAAAACTGGACCGTCAAAATCCAAGACGCGCGCGTCAAAAAGCGCCGGCAAACCCGAGTTCCAGAGAGTACTCGAATCTTCCCTGTCCCCGACTCTGCGCGCGGCCGAATCAGATTCTCCCCCTCCGCATGAAGTCGGGGGGGCTTCTGGCCATCGCTCGGACGCCCATTCCCCGTCCAATGTTTCAGTCCGCGCGCGTGATCTTCCTCCGCAGGAAGATCCAACATGCTCCTCGACGGTCCTCGCCGAGAACAAATACTCACGTCCGAGCGACGCCGAGTCTTGAGGCTCTGAGCAGGAACCGACCGTACAGGCATGTCTATGGGCCTACTACGAAACGTTCTTAGAAGCCGGAAATGCTCTAATAACGAACAATCCTGTTCTTAGAACACAAACCTGGTGCGTTAAAGCAAAACAGTCCCAGCCAGAAGTGCTCTAAGCAAATTTCGTGGAAACCACAGCAGGTTCTTAGAGCATGGTTTGGTAGGCCTATAGGCAGGACGCTTCGCCACTGCGTGAAGGCTGCTGCCGCGGCGGCGCCTCCCCGGCGCGTGCGCCCGCCGGCCTGCCGCCGCGCGGGGCGGCCTCCGCGCGCGCCCCGCCGCCGGGCGTGCGCGGCCGCCCGCGCGGCTGCGGCCCGGCGGGGGCGGGGCGGTCCGACGCCGAGGCCCGCTTGAAGGCGCTGACGACCCTGAGCGGGAGGAGGAGGAGGAGGAGGAGGAGGAGGAGGAGGAGGAGGAGGAGGAGAAGGAGGACGAGGAGGACGAGGAGGACGAGGAGGCGGATGAGGATGAGGAGGACGAGGACGAGGACGAGGAGGAGGAGGAGGAGGACGAGGAGGCGGGCGGGCGGGCGGGCGGGCGGGCCGGCGGGCGGGCGGGCGGGACGCACAGAGAACTGCAGCAGTGCTGGAGTCGGGCTCCCCTGGGCTCCTCTCCCAGGGCGCAGCCTCGCTGAGAGCGCGCCTCGAGCCCTGCGTCAGCACGGAGCTCGGGCTTCTCGCGCACGAGGGTGTTGGGGTGTTAATCCCACCAGCCCTCTGGACGTTGGTGGTCTAGAGCGTTTCCTCTTCCACCTCCCTTCTTCCCTTTCGGGGAGGGGTTTACCCCTCCCCCTATCCCCTCCCCTGGACCTGGACGGGGCGCCCCGCGAGCGGTCAGGGCGTCCAAGATGGCCCAAGATGGCTCCAAGAGGGCGTCAGAGAGCCCAAGATGAGCTCCAAGATGGCTCACGATAGCGCAAGATGCCTCGAGATGGCTCCCAAGATGCTCCAAGACGCCCCAAGGCTGCTCCAAGACGGCTCTAAGATGCCAAAAGAGCTCCCCAAGGATGCCCCCAAGAGACCAAAATCCTTCAAAAACCGTGGGAGAATCAATGTTGCTTGCTTTCCTGCCTTTTCGTTTCCGATTGCCATTCGAGGCCTTAAGATAGCTCCAAGATGGCCCAAGAGAGCCCTAAGAGGGGCCCAAGGGAGCCCCAAGAGCGCCCAAGAACGCTCCAAGAGCGCCCCAAGCACGCTCAAAAAGACGACTTGGGGGGCTCCCGAGGGGCGAGGCTAATTAAGGGACCCCTCTTCTTTGAGCCTTTTCGCTTCCGACGGCCATCCGAGGCCTCAAGATGGCTCCAAGATGGCCCAAGAGGGCTTCAAGAGCGCTCCCAAGGCTCCCAAGAGCGCTTCAAGAGGGCCCCAAGAGGCGCCCAGGAGGCCCCAAGAGGCTCCAACAGGCGCCCAAGAGGCCTCCACGAGGCTCCCAAGAGACCCCCAAGAGGCCCCAAGAAGCTCTGCGAGGCACCCGAGACTCTAAGAGGCGTCCGGGACCGCCAAAAGGCCCACCAAGACGCTTCAAGAAGCCTCCACTGGGGGACCCTTCCTCTGTGTGCTGCCACTTCCCTGATCGAGGCATATCCTCTGGGCATCGTTTCTGCATGGGCTGGTGGGGGTACTTTTTTTTGATTTGCGGCCCGCAAGGAAAAGTCCAGAGGGCGGTATGAGGCAAAGGGGCGCGATGCCAGAAGATTAAAACTGGTGGGGTTACGCGAAGCGTCTAGGATTCCTCCGTCTGCCCATGCCAACCAACCGAACGCAAAGCTCTCTGCGACGGGGGCACCAAATGAGCGACGAAAAGAAGCTGGCCTTACGCGAGATGGCATATCGATCCTGGGCGGTGGCTTGCGCGGGCCGTCGGCGCGGAACGCCACACTGGAGACGGGGGCGCTCACGCGCGACCTTGCGAGGGCAGCTTACGCGCCAATGTCGTCGCGGACGACCGCGTTTTCTGGCGTCGCTCAACTGAGCATTGTTTAACCGATCCCGTTCCCCACTGGCGTGGCCTGGGCCCCGCTGGCCGAATTACCCCCCTAGATGGGGATATGGGCTGTTCTCTTCGGGTTGCGAGGGGGCTATCCCCAAAATGGTGTGGTGGGATGGTGGGGATCGAGATTCGAGGCCTCATAGATGGGGTCGGAGTAGATGGGCTCGGACGATCGCGCGCATCGCCGATATATCGGCGCTGCATCAGCGACGTCGGCGTGGAGAAAAGCGGCTCCACATCGAGCCGCATCGCCGATGCATCGGCGATGCGGCGCGATCCTTCGACCCCATCTACTCCGACCTGGGAGGCCTCGAGGGATGTGGATGGGGCTGGGGATCGGTCAAACGATCTTGACCAACTGGTCGTCCGCGCTGATCGTGGCCAGGCCCGTCCGTGGCCCAGGATGGGTGTGCAGCTGCACGCCTTCCTGCCGAGCCGGAGCCGGGAAGGCGTATATACTCACCGATCCCGGGCCCCAGCCAGGATCCCGGAGGTCCGACGTCGCTACCATCGCGACAGGTCACTGCCGGTGCCCTAGCCCCATCGTTGTTCGGCGGCGCGCCGCAGGAGGGGGGCAGGGGGAGGGGGGAAGGCTTCTTAGAAGGCGGATGCTTCCTGGGAGGCGCCAGTCTCACATCTCTATATCAGGCCCGCGCCTTGCAGGGGTGCTTCTAAGGAGCCTTCCCCCCCCCCTCCTGCACCCTTCTGCGCGTGGCTGAGTTGTGCTGCATTCTTCGAGTTGGATCGAGCTGTGAAGCTCCTGGGCCCCCGAAGCCTGACAACCAAACGCCCGGCGTGAAGAAAATGCAAAGCCCGAGTCTCAGGGAGCGGTGTCTGTGCATAGCCGGCACCCTCCGACCTGACCGCCAGCGGGTGCGTGCTTCCGAACAGCACGACCGCGTACGCCAGGCCCTCGCGGAGCGGGGCCAGCACAGCGCCTGAGCAGGGGCCCCTCCGCAGTGGGCGGCACAGGGCCAGTGCTGCCGCGGCCTGGAGGAAGCACAGCAACAAGCACTCGCGCAACACGAGGCTGCCACCGGGCACCTCATCCCCCTGCAAGGCTGATCCCCACAGTGGCCAATTCCGCTCGACGATGCCCTGCGCAGCTCCAATTCCCGGGTGGCGGCTCACCGGATGCTCTGCGCCAAACGGCTGTGAGCTCTCTGGCAGCTGCGACGCCATCGGCTTCCACTCAGCGCCGGCATCTCCAACCGCCTCTCGGGAAACCAAAGGCTACCGACACCGCTACTCCCTGGACTTCTCCTGGGGTGCGTTCTGACCCAGAGTTTCGAGGCGAATCCAGCGGTGGCGACAGGGGCCGCCCAGGAGCCCCCAAAAAGGGAAAACGGGCGAAAGTTAGAGGTATGGGTACCTTTTCCTCCTCTGAGCCTCGCTGAACAGCGGCCACGGTCGCAGAAGCGTCCTGGCAATCAGCACGGTGGTGACGACGGTCGCCTGCCTCTGCTCCTCCGACCGCCGCAGGCCACCCGCCTTCGCCGGCGGCCTCGGATCCCGCCACGGGTCCACCAGCCGCCCAGGCAGCACGCGCCCTCCGTCGGAGCTGGCGCACCCGAAGTCGGACTCCGAGCCTGCAGAAGCACTGCTCGACGCGGAGGTCCCCCACGTGTGCATCTCAATTCCTGGCGCGTCCCGCTGAAGGCGTTTGAGTGTGAGCGATTCGTAGCCTGAGGGCTACTGGGCGAGAGCGAGTCCGAGTGCCAGCGGTGTGTTCTGCTGCTCTTCTCCGCCACCTGCTGTTCCACTCACTGGAATACTAAGCCGCTCTGCGATGTGTTTTGATAATGTCCACGCGATGTCCACGCGAAAACATCGGTGGTCTGTGCTGGCCTATGCTGGTCACTGTTTGTCTCTGCTGGTCTCTGCTGGTTTCTGCTGCTCTTCGGTAGCCTCTGCTGATCTCTGCTGGTCTCTCCTGGACCCAGCTGTCCTCAGCTGCCCTCAGCTGATCTGCGCGGGCCCACCAGCCGTGCCTGCCACGTCGCGGTGATCAGTGGATGCCGAGACGAGTCCCAAGAGCCTACACGGGCGTTTCGCGTGAGAACTCCCCAGATGCTGGCCGCGAGCGGACACCTGGAACATCCCCTGGCGGTTCCCTTCCCACTCTTGGGGGTGCTCAAAACGTCATGACTGCGACATCCGTGGCGATCATAGGGCTCTTTTCGACGGAGGAGTCGCCCAAAGGCCATACACGCTACGTCGCGGTGATCATGGGGCTCTGGCGAGCCTGTGCGGGGCACTGTGCGGGCGATTCTCCCGAGACGTCCCCAGGATCTGGGCGCAATGGAGCCGCGACACACCACCTGCCGACTCCCCCCTTTCAGCGCAGCCCACACGCTGCGCCTGCTTCATCGCGTGCTCACGGGACTTCCAGGACAGAGGGGTCGGGCAAGCCCAGACCAGCGTTTCGCTTGAGACGTCCCCGTGATCTGGGCGCGAACGCGGATCCTTCTTCGGGTGCCCAAGCGTCATGCTTGCTACGTCGCGGTGATCACGGGGTTCTCAAAGCAGGAGGAAGCGGGGAATCCAACACAAGCGTTTCACTGGAGACTTCCCCGCAATCTGGGCGCGACCAGGCGCAATCGTAATCGTGAGGCTCCCACTTGGGGTGCTCAAGCGATGTGCTTGCTACATCGCGGTGACCATGGTGCTCTCAGAACAGAGGAGTCAAGAAATACCAAACCAACGGTTCTGGAGACGTCCCCAGGATCTGGGCGCGCACGGGCTCGTGCAATAGCCCGCGGCGGCTCCGGCTTCGGGTGCCCAAGTAATATGCCTGCTACATCGCGGAGATCGTGGGACTTTCACAACAGAGTGCTTGGGGAAGCCGAGAACCAGCGCGTCACTTGATATGGCCCCACAATCTTGGAGCGAACGGGCCCGCGAACACACACACACACACACACACACACACTGGCGGCTCCCCCTTCGGGTGCCCAAATCATAAACCAAGTACATCGCGGTGATCATGGGGGTCTCAAAGCAAAGGAACCGAGTCATAGGAGCAAGGGGGTCTCATTCAGCTTGACATGTCCCTGCACTCTGGTCTGGAACGCGCCCGTGCACCCCCTGAGGGCTTCCCCTTGGGTTGCCCGAGTGCGATGCCTGCTACATCGCAACGGTTATGCGCGAGTCTGGGTATGATGAGCATCTATGCGTCGGTTTCAGTATAAGCGACAGAGGTGTGGGTAAAACTGATTGTGAGTGACTCTGAGCGTCAATTCTCTGAGTGTAAGAGGCCTGTGTGTACGGCCCTGACTACGACTGAGCCGAGTATGACTAGATCGAGTGTGACTGGAATGAGTCTGACTGAGTCTGAGTACGAGTGAGACTGAGTGTTGATGGGCGTGGGTGGCAGTGAGTCTGAGGATGATGGGTCTGGGTGTGAGTGAGTATGCGTGTGAGCGCGTCTGAATGTGAGATGTCTGAATGTGGGTCTGCGTGTGAGTAGTCTGAACATGAAAGAATATGACCCTGAGTGAAAGAGGAAGGAGGCGGGTGAGGCGAGTGAGGCGGAGGCGTGACACTAATAACAGGAGCCCTACACTTAGAGGATGGGAAGCAGAACACTGGGACACAACATTCGGGGTCCACGAGGAATTCTTGGGAAGGCGCTGGACCCCCTCCCCCTGGCGCGCGGAGCGCGCGCCAGGTCTGGCGCCGGAGGCGCCAACAAGGGGCGGGGTGGCATCACCGACCAGAGAACTCCGCGCGCGCTTCCAAGCGTTCCTGTTGATGCAATTTTTTCTCCCCGAGCCTGAGTAGACAGAACTGGCCAAGCTCGTGGTGCCGTCGGGGCCACCGCCTTCGTCGTCAATGTCCACGGGGCCCAGGATAGTGGCGATGGCGGCGTGCGCCGCGGATGTCACGGCGTCTACCTCCTCCGACACCCGGCGTCGTGACTGTTTCACAGAGTGGCTTCAAGGAGGCCTTGATACGTCGGAACCAGGATGAAGATAATAATATCGGGCAGACATGAATTGGGAATCTCTTAGAGCCCGCAGGCTTCGAGGATGCACCAGTCGCCGCGGCAGTTCCAGACCGCTCCGGGACACTCTGAGAGCGCCCCAGAGCGAGCTGGAGCGAGTGAGACAATCCAAGGCCTGCCTGATGTCGACCCCCCCAAGACTGGTTTTCCATCCCGCACCGCTTGTGGACGATCGCAGAAAAGCAATCACGTCGCGTGTTTTTTCAGCGACGCGAGGGGACCCGGGCTCGGGGCTCAGAGCTGGCCGTGGTCACGAGAAAGCTCGTGTCTGCCTCAAAAGAAGTTGGGGACTCGAGCTCTGAGATCCGACGTCGCGACAATATTGCAGCATCGCGCAAAAAAACGCGAACGGGACCCTAGACCCCATCGTTCCGCATCTTCCGACAGGATCGATCTGTGAAGGCATCGGGGCCCGAAACTGGGCGAAAGCGCCCAGTGTGAAAAAGTTGCAACGCCGGGATCTCGGGGTCGTGCTTTGTTCACGACGCGAGGGGGTCTGGGCTCCTCGACGCTGCCGAATCCGGGCTGGCCGGTGGCGCTGCGCAGGGCCAGGACGGCTTGCGTCAGGATCTCCAGCGCACAGCTTGGCTGCTTCAGCAGCGCGTGTGCGGCACTGAGGTTCAGCAGGATCACAGGGTGCACCCACCTGAGCTGGAGGCCTCCCGAATCGGGCCCGCATCGCCGATGCATCGCCAAAACATCGGCGACGTCGGCGACGCATCGGCGACGTCGGCGTGGCGGAGAAACTTGCACCCCACATCGAGCCGCATCGCCGATGCGGTGGCGATGCGGCGCGATTCTCCAACCCCATCTAATTACTCGGACCACATTTGGGAGGCCTAGATGGGCGGCGAAAGGGCTGGGGCCTCTCCCGCGATGGTGTTTGCTACATCTTGCCCCGCGCGAGGGCTCGTGCCTCAGGGAAGGAGACGATGATACCGATGCCGCTGCAGGAGGGCGCCAACCATACCTGTACACCGATCCTGGCGAGGGTTCCTCCTAGGCCCAGGATCGGTGTACGCGCCCTCCTAGCTTCAGCAGGGAGGCGTGTACACCAGTCTTGGACCCAAACATCGGCCTGGCAAGGCTCGGTGCAGGTGTCCGGCTGGTGTCCAGTTGGTGCCATCCGACGCTGCCCGTCCTCCCATGGCGTGTCGGCCTCTGTGCCCCTCTGTTTCCCGAAGAGCCGAGCCGCTGGCGCGAAGAGGAGGACGAGGAGGACTTTCGGTTGCGGCTTCGGCTTGAAATCGGCGACCAAAAGCGGGCCTGAGCGCGTTCGTGGAAGGATATTCCTGACTTCGGGGGAGACCGCGGGAGAGGCAAGACAGCGCCTCTCGACTCTTCGCAGTGGGGGGCTCAGTCAACCCTTCACGCAATCAGGAGCGAATCCTGCGGACCTGCGATGACGAGAGGCTGCTCAGGCAGCAGCCCTCGCGGGTCACCTACATATTCCCAAGTCCCTTCGGCCTGGGCGAAAAGCGAGAGCAAAGAACAAGGCTTCGGCCAAACGTTACTCAGCGGGCACTTCACAGAAAACGCGTGGCGACACCGCACACACTGAAAGACAGAAGTCTTGAAAGCACATCGTGATGGGCCGAGATAAGCCTCATCCTCCGAGCTCCTCTGGAAGTGACCCTTCGGGGAGAAGTTGGCCTCTCGAGGCCGCCAATCGGCAGCTCGATTCAAAAGGAGCTCAACGAAGGAGGCCTGCACAACCTCAGTCTGGGCCTGGGTGGGGTGAGCCAAGTCCAGCGGGGGGTCCACTTCGCCCGCGCGAGCTCGAAGCCGATCCCACACACGCACCCAGATGTCCAGCGTAGTAGTCTTAGTCCTGATGACCTGCTGCGTTGACTTGCTGGCATCTTCCACCACATGTAAGTATACAGCTCGGACATGTGAGGTCTCTGACAAGTCGTAGGGAGGGTATCACATACTCCAAGGGCGTTGTGTGTCTCATCCACGCGGACACAACTCCCCAGCCACGCATCCTTAGTCAATCATCCTATGCGTCCTTCCCACCGATACATCTATGCCCCAGACTCTCTGTTGGATCAAACCAGAGCCCTCACGAGCCCCAAAAGGTCCACTGGAGATCTTGGGGAGCAGGGAGGCCTCCAACAACCTGATCCTCCGAAGCCACAAAGCGGGGACAGCATCACTTTCCTCGATCGCGGTCGGGGCAAGATAAACAGTGGCCTGAAGGGCCGAGCTGTCCAGCGAGTAGTTGGCGCAGCATTTCCAGAAATGGTGCACGGGCGTCTCGGGCTGCCGCCCGTATCTTGGGCACATCTGACTCGCGCAATATTCTGCCTCGAAAAGCCTCGATTCAGTCCAAAACCCTCCCATCATGGTGTTACGCGATGTGGCCTGAGATTCATAATCAAAGTCTCCCCCAAACTTGTCCAACAACTTCTAAGGAACCGTGAAATCCGCCGACGCCTTGAGGTTCACGGGCGAGCGAGATGTTTCCCCCTCCCCAAACCCCTCCCCCGGGAGCCCGGTCCGGTCAATTTGAAGGCCACGGTGGGGGGGTCCCCCAGGGACGCCCCGAACGCATCAGGGGGGGGGGGGGCAGAGGGCCCCCAGACACGCCAAGAGGGCACCAAAAGGCCTTCTGGACGGTCCA